AAAGCTGGAAATGGTGCTGTGGCTCAAGTGGTAGAGTGCTAGCCTTGAGCTGAAGAGGTGAGGAACAGCACCCAGGCACGGAGTTCAGGCCCCATGACCCCCCTCCTCCCCCCACACACACGCGCACACACACACACACAATCATTTAAGATTATAGAATTGTAACCTCTGTATTACTACTTATAATCTTTTAACGAATCACAGAAGATGCCGGGTGCCAGTGGCTCACGTCTGTAATACTAGCTACTCAGGAGGCTGAGATCTAAGGATTGCAGTTCAAAGCCAGACTGGGCAAGAAGATCCGTGAGACTCTTATCACCAATTAAATACCAGAAAACCAGAAATGGCACTGTGGCTCAATGACAGAGTGCCATCCTTGAGCTGAAGAGCTCAAGGACTGCACCCAGACAAAGCGATCAAGTGCCACAACTGACCAAAAACAAACAAAAAAGAATCACACAAGAAATTAATAAATGTATAGAATGAAATGAACTCTTTAGCTTAGCTTAACTGCTGTATTACCATTAGAAAAGAAGCTTGAAAACATTCTAAATTATAAGTAGAAAAATTCTATTTCCAGAAAGACTGTTACTTTTCAAAAGCCATATTGAATTATTAAAAACTTTTGCAGAAATTAGTCTATCCATGGTAAACAACAGGAAATGATAATCTGTAAACTACACAGTGTGGAACAGTGGAATGATAACTTATCAAGCCTGAATTCAGAACAGGCTAATAGATATTATTCCAGGCAATAGTATTATGCTAGGCATATGTTTCAAAGAATGAAACAAAGGTTCCTGCCCTTTTGTAATTTAGCTTACCACCCCGATTTGTAAGCATTTAAGTAGTGACTGTTTCTCAACCTTTATCACCTAATAAGATTCCTCCAGTTTTAATCATAATTTCTTATTGCCTTTGCAACTACACTACTCAACATTATCTTTTATTCTGAAGTTACCCAGTAACTTCTCAAAGATCTAGAAGGTAATTTAAAGCTCAACCACTCATAATCAGGCATGGCTCAAATGGAAAGTGACACCCATGAGTTCAAAATACCAATACCGGGGCTGGGAAGGTGGCTCAGTGGTAGAGCGCTTGCCTTGCATGCTCGAGGCCCTGGGTTCGATTCCTCAGCACCACATAAGCAAAAAGAAAAAAGCCGGAAGTGGTGCTGTGGCTCAAGTGGTAGAGCGCTAGCCTTGAGCTGAAGAGCTGAGGGACAGTGCCCAGGCCCAGAGTTCAGGCCCCACGACCGGACCCAAAAAAAAAACTCAAAATACCAATACTGCCAAGATTTAAAAAAAAAAAAAGAAAGAAAGAAAAGAAAAAAGGCACACACCCATGTCTCCCATCTGAAATCCAGCTACTCAGGAGGCTGAGATCTGAGGATCTTTTGGTTCAAAGCCAGCCCAAGCAATTCAGATGCTTATCTCAAATTAACCAGCAAAAAGCTGTAAGTGGAGCTGGGGCTTAAGTGGTACAGCACCAACCTTGAGCAAAAAAGCACAGGGAGGGGCTGGGAAGGTGGCTCAGTGGTAGAGCGCTTGCCTTGCATGCATGAGGCCCTAGTTTCGATTCCTCAACACCACATAAGCAAAAACAAAAAAGCCCGAAGTGGCACTGTGGCTCAAGTGGTAGAGTGCTAGCCTTGAGCTAAAGAGCTGAGGGACAGCGCCCAGGCCCAGAGTTCAGGCCCCACAGCCGGACCAAAAAACCAAACCAAACCAAACCACAGGGAAAGCACCCAGGCCCTTGGTTCAAGCCCTAGAACACACACCTTGGTTCAAGCCCTAGAATGAACACACACACACACACACACACACACACACACACACACACACACACACACACACACACACACACACACACACACACACACACAGCTAAGCCAGAAAAAATGCACAATTCACAGTCTTCTGGACCTTTGCCCTGGACAGTTTTAACACTAAAAGTATTTTATAATTCAAAGACTTTACTTTTTTCAGTAAATAAAATTAAGCAAGAAAGAATTAATTGAGCACTCACTCAAAAATCATATGCTGGACACTTACTTAAAAGGAAACGGGGTACAAAACATAGCAATTTAACCCCAAACCAAGCTAAAGGAAGAAAAACAACTGAAAAGAAAAACAAGTGAAAGCTCAACTGTCTGGAAATAAAGAATTGTAAAGATGTGTTAATGAAGATTGAACGTATATGACAGAACTACTTATAATCTTCCTTCTTTGTAATCACCACCCTTAGAGCTACCTTACTGTGTTTTGCCTACATCATTAACATAGAACATCTAACTTGTTAGGAGGGGGAGAAAAATAGCAAAACAGCCTGATTTTGTATGAGAGGGGACACGAATTTTGATGACAGGGAGTGTGATTTGTATGAGGGGGATCACTATTCATAGTGAATGTGAATAAATCATTTCACTGAAATAAAGTTCAGCACAGCTTCTTCTTATCTGTGGGGCACCTGTTCTAAGACACCACCTACTTCAAATACCAAAAATCCATATGCTCAAATCCTTTGTATAAAATATAGTGTTTGTACACAAAGTATGAATATCTACCTCAATATTTTATCATGAATAAACTACTTATAATACTGAATAAAATGAAAATACTATATAAACAGTTACATTCTATTTTTAAGAGAGTAAAGTCAAGAAACAAGGAACAGATCCACCTTTTTTTGAATATTTAAAAATTCATGTTTGGTTGAATATACAAACACAAAACAACCCATGGTTAAGGAAGGCTGAAAATACACACACACGCATGTGCACGCGCACATGCACACACACACATAGTGAGAGCTTTAACAGTTTTGGTATAACTTAAAGATCTTTGAAAGAGTTTCATAAAGTACATGTAGACACTTTATAAAATTTTATAAGAAGTTACATATAGAATAAATGTTGGAATAATGGAATCATGAAAATAAATCATATATGTGCTATTTTTCCATATTGTAAATTTAGTAAGCCAGGAGCTGTAGGCTCAAGCCCGTAATCCTAGGTATTCAGGAGGCTGAGATCTGAGGATAGTGTTTTGAAGTTAGCTCAAGTTGTAAAGTCTATGAGACTCTCCCAATTAATAAGCAAAAAGCCAGAAATGAAGGTGTGGCTTAAGGGGAAGAGTACCAGCCTTGAGCCAATAAGCTAGGAAAGAGCTTGAGTCCCTGAGTTCAAGCCCCAGTACCAGTGCACAAACACACACACACAGTTTAACATTAACAAAAATAGTTCCTTCATTCATATCTTATTATTCAATTTTGTGCCTACCCTGGCACTTTACTGAGGGCCTTGCACTCTCAATGGCTTTGTATTGTATGTATACATCTAGCCCTTATTCTACAGTTCATCTTCCCATATATCTTCCATGCCACCCATACCCACTGGCCTTTGCCAGATGTTCCTCTGACTGAAGCACTTTCCTATCAAACACTCTTATATCACATAAGATGTACAAAGAAACTCATTATAGTCATTATGTTAAAAGCCAGCACAGATTTACATACAATAAATACACTGTACTTTATTTTAAAAACAGACATAATATCTGTCTTACATTACTAAGTTTCAGGATTACAGGTAGCTTTAAGAAACAAAAAACATTTATATTTTTATTTGGAAAAAATAGAAAAGCCATCAGTTTTAAAACTCAGCTCCAATACTTAAGTGCGGTTGTAGTCTGGATATGGTTTGAGTACATTCCCCAAACGTTCATATGCTAGAAGCTTGTTCTCCAGTATTTGTAGTCTTGGGGGGTTACAGAAGTTTTAAGAGGTAGAGTCATATGGAAGGTGGGTAGGTAATTGGTGAACCACCCACAGAAGGAATTTAGTTTCAAGAAGTGAGTTAGCTCTGTCAAGAGCAAGTTGTTACAAAATTAGGCTACCACACAGGCTTGGGCCCAGCTACATGCAGCCTTTCTACTTTTTTACTATGTTATGAAGCAGCTACAGAGGCCCTTACTTAAGACCAAAAAGATAGAGCTTCTTGATCTTGGACATTCAGCCACCAAAAATGTAAGCTAAATAAGCCTCTTTTCTGTATTAAGTACTCAGCATCATTTTGTTATAGCAGCACAAAACAGACTAAGCCAGTGATGTAAGCTAATCCTCAGTAATCTTACTAAAAGACTGAAATCTGGAAGACTGTAATTTAAGGTCAGCCTGAGAAAAATGGCTAAATCATCATCATCATCCATTTCTAAAATCATCAGCAAAACCCTAGGCTGGATATGTGGCTCAACACCAGTTGATCAAGTGCTCCAAGAAAGCATAACGCTTTGAGTTTAAGCCCCATACTAGCCAAAAAACACAACTTTTGTAAGGTAGTCTCTAGTACCTTTCTCTGATCTAAAGTAATAGCACATAGTCACATGTGCTATTACTGTGCTATTCACATGTGCTATTACTGTGCTATGTACTGAAGTGAGTTATGAAAGTTTCTAACTGCCAACTTAGCATTTTAAAAAGCTTCAAGGCTATACATCCAACTTCTCTAAGTCTATTTCTTCATCCAGTAAGGAAGCCAAATCAACCAAAATGATTCAAACAGACCCATTTATGACTCAATAACATACTGTGATGGAAGCCACGTGAATTTCTAAGGCCTAAGTGGTATAGATAAGTTACATCATCAAGCTTTAAACATTCTTAAATGAATATAAAATGTAGCCTGGAAGTTCTTAACTTTAACTTAGGCTACTATAATTAATTACTTTCTATATTTGAAAAATATTCTTAAAATTACTTACATCTGGTTGAATAGCTTTAAATACTGGGACATCCATTAGTGTTATCTGACCCTGAAATAAAAAGTTTAAACTAAAGTTAATTTCTCCTAACTCTATGATGTAACATAATATTCTTTTCTTTCTTCCTTCTTTCTTTCTTTCTTTCTTTCCTTTTCTTTCTTTCTTGTCAGTCATGGGGCCTGAAGACTGGGCCTGGGCAATGTCCTTTATCTCTTCAGCAAAAGGCTAGCACTCTATCACTTGAGCCACAGAGCCACTTTTAGCTTTTTCTGCTTATGTGGTGCTTAGAAATCAAATCCAGGGCCTCATGCATGCAAGGCAAGCACTATACCACTTAGCCACCTTCTCAGCCCCATAAGATAATATTCTAAGTATTTTACTGAATAGTCAATTTTATAAGGGCTCAAAGAAAAATGAAAATTTAGTCCTTGTGGCATTAGATATAGTTAATTCTCATTATCTCATGACTGCTTTGCCGCCTTGAAACCCTTATCTTCAATAAACCACTCAGAACATTAATCTTGAGCTGAAGAGCTGAGGGACAGTGCCCAAACCCAGAGTTCAAGCCCTATGACCAACTAACAAAAAAAGAAAAAGAAAGATTGTTGGAAAGTTAAGTTGGTTTGGAGAAACAGTTCACACCATGATGAAAGTAATTATTTCATAATATCATATTAAAGGTGTAAGTTATAAAGCTGCTCTAAACAAAAAGCTAAACTTTTTTTTTCTTTTCTTTTTTTTTTTTTATTGTGAGAATACCATACAGAGGAGTTACAAGTGGTAGAGTGCTAGCAATGAGCAACAAAGCTCAGGGACAGCTTCTGGGCCCTTTGTTCAAATCCTAGCACAGACACACAGACACACAAAGATGCAGGTGGCTTACCGCATATTCTTCTGGTGTAACCTTAAGAACATCAAATACCACAGCATCAAAACTTTTCTTCAATTCAGAACCTTTGTCACTTAAGGATTCAGAGCTGCTACTTTTCTGTTAAAATGTAAGAAAATATAATCAGTGTTAAAATATAATTTTAACACTGCCTCACCATCAGTGACAGAAACTACACTGGCCTTAAAAAAACTGAGAAACCAAGAACCGTATATTAGTCTGCAGAAGCTGGGCAGTGGCCAGCTACTCAGGAGGCTGAGAGCTGGAAGACCAAAGTTCAAAGCTACTCCAGGCAGAAAAGTTTATGGAATCCATCTCCAATTAATCAGCAAAGTGCCAGGCTGGAGGTGTGCCTCAAGTGGTAAAGGGCTAGGTATGAGCAAGAAAGCTGAATGCGGTGCTTTTGAATGAATGAATAAATGAATGTGAGTGAATGAATACTACAGAAAGCTGAGCAGAGCATGCATGCTGTTTATTTAGAAAAATAACAGATAAAAGGTCTGGCTAATTGGAAATTTAACACTGCATTAAAGGTTCTTGAATGAGTCTTTTTGTCATTTGCCAGTTCCTTTATCCAGACATCTTATCATTTCCAATAGAAATAAAAGATTTTACCCAGTTTAATGATTTTCAAATGGAGTAAAAGAAAGTTAGAGAGAAGGTTATTTATCTATAATCATCTTTTATTTATTTTTTTTGTCGGTCATGGGGCTTGAACTCTGGGCTTGGGCGCTGTCCCTCAGCTCTTCAGCTCAAGGCAAGCGCTCTACCACTTGAGCTACAGTGCCACTTCTGGTTTTCTGAGGGTTTATTGGAGATAGGAGTCTCACTGTCTTTCCTGCCCGGGCTGGCTTTGAACTGCGATCCTCAGATCTTAGCCTCCTGAGTAGCTAGGATTACAGGCGTGAGCCACCAGCGCCCGGCTTACATATTCTCTATTTGAAGTAAGTTTTCACTATAGCCCAGGCTAGCCTCAACTTTCTCCAACTCTTTTCTCTTACATTACCATTATGTGCTATCACTAGGCTATCCCCTCCATTTTTCATTCCACTTTCTCTTTGGCTTTCAATTCGCAAAGTTTCTCCTAACTTATCTTCAAGCCTAGTGATTCTTTCCTTACATGTCTAAGAGATCACCAAAGTTATTCTGCCCTTCTGTCACAACGTTTGTGAATTCTAGTATTTCTTTTTAATTCTTAAGTTTTGGTATCCTTTCTTACATTATTAATTTGCTATATGTTTTTCTCTTGCCTTTTAGCATTCTTTATTTTCTGCTGAAAGCAAGATATGAGTAATGAGAACTTAAATAGGCATTAAATAGGAAGTTAAATATGCCTTTAAAATGTAAGGGTTTATTTAGCTGGCCGCTGGTGGCTTACATCTATAATCCTAGCTACTCAGGAGGCTGAGATCTGAGGATCACAATTCAAAGCCAGCCCAGGCAAGGCAGGAAGGTCCATGACACTTTTTTTTTTTTACTGTTTATTTATTTATTTTTTTAATTGTGAAAATACCATACAGAGGGGTTACAATTACATGGGCAAGATAATGAGTACATTTCTTTTCTTTTTTGTTTTTTTGCTTTTGTTTTTTTTTTGGTTGTGGGGCCTCAATTCTGGTCTGGGCGCTGTCCCTCAGCTCTTCAGCTCAAGGCTAGCGCTCTACCACTTGAGCCATAGCGCCACTTCTCGCTTTTTCTGCTTACGTGGTGCTGAGGAATCGAACCCAGGGCCTCATGCCTGCAAGGCAAACACTCTACCACTGGGCCACCTTCCCAGCCCCAATGAGTATATTTCTTATCAAGCATTGTTGCGTCCTCCTTTGTTTCCCCTTCCCATCCCTTCCCATACTTCCCCCCACCCCACTCCATGAAACTCTAATCTCCAATAACCACTAAAAAATTGGAAGTGTTGCTGTGTTTCAATTAGTAGAGCACTTGTCTTGAGCTGAAGAGTTCAGGGACAGCACCCAAGCCCAAAGTTCAAGGTCTATGACAGGGGAAGGGGAAGGGGAAGGGAAGAAGGAAGGAAGGAAAGAAAGAAAGAAAGAAAGAAAGAAAGAAAGAAAGAAAGAAAGAAAGAAAGAAAGAAAGGAAGGAAGGAAGGAAGG